TTCTACTAAGCCTAAATAACTATTACCAGAGAAAATAAAACCACAATGAAGAAAGTAGACCAATTCATTCCTAAGCAAATACACAATCAAATCAACTACTGGCAAAGTCAGTGAAGGGGTACACAAAGGGTGCAGAATATGACACTAATATATAAAGAGTGGAAGACGAAGAAAAAGAAGGGAAAAAAGAAAAAGAACCTTTAGATTCTGTTTGAGATAGCAAACTATGCGGCTTAAGTTAGACTGTTAGATAGCAAAGAAGCTGCCCTTGCACCTTTGGTAACCATGAATTTAAAGCCTGCAATGGCAATAAGTATGTATCTATCGATAATCACCCTAAATGCAAATGGACTGAATGCACCAATCAAAAGATATACAGTTACTGAATGGATAAAAAATCAAGACCCATCTTTATAGTGCCTAGAAGAGACTCACTTCAAACCCACATACATAGAGTAAAAGTGAAGGAATGGAAAAAGATACTTCATGCAACTAATAGGGAGAAAAAAGCAGGTATTGCAGTACTTGTACCAGATAAAATAGACTTTAAAACAAAGAAAGTAACAAGAGACAAAGAAAGATATTACATAGTGATAAAGGGGTCAGGCCAGCAAGAGGATATAACCATTATAAATATCTATGCACCCAACATAGGAGCACACAAATATGAGAAAGAAATACTAACACAATTAAAGGGGGAAGTAGAATGCAATAGTCATTTTAGGAGACTTCAACACACCACTTACTCCAAATGACAGATCAACCAGACAGAAAATAAGTAAGGAGAAAGATGCACTGAACAACACATTAGAACAGATGGACCTAACAGACATCTACAGGACACTCCATCCAAAAGCAACAGGATACACATTCTTCTCAAGTGCACATGGAATATTTTCCAGTATAGATCACATACTAGGCCACAAAAAGAGCCTCAGTAAATTCAAAAAGTTTGAAATAGTACCAGTCAGGTTCTCAGAACAGAAAGGTATGAAACTAGAAATAAATTATGTAAAGAATAGAAAGAATCCCACAAACACATGGAGGCTTAACAACATGATCGTAAATAATCTGGATCAATGATCAAATAAAAACAGATCAAGTAATATATGGAAGCAAATAAAAGCAATAACTCAATACCCAAAAATCTGTGGGATGCAGCAAAGGCTGTTCTAAATGGGAAATATATTGTAATACAGGCTTACCTCAGGAAGAAGAGCAATCCTAAATAAACAGTCTAAAAATCAAATGGAACTATAAAAAGAACAAATGAGTCCTAAAGTCAGTAGTAGGAAGGACATAATAAAGATCAGAAGAGAAATAAATAAAATTGAGAATAATAAAATAATAGAATCAATGAAAGCAGGTGCTGGTTCTTCGAGAAAATAAACAAAATATATAACTCCCTAGCCAGACTTATCAAGGAAAAAAGAGAGCCTACACACATAAACAACCAGAAATGAGAAAGGAAAAATCACTATGGATACCACAGAAATATAAAGAATTATTTGAGAATACTATGAGAAATTATATGCTAACAAATTGGATAACCTAGAAGAAATGGACAACTTTCTAGAGAAATACAACTTTCCAAGGCTGACCTAGGAAGAAACAGAAAATCTGAACAGACCAATTACCAGCAATGAAATCGAGCTGTTAACCAAAAAATTACCTAAGAACAAAATTCCTGGACCAGATTGCTTCACTGCTGAATTTTACCAGACATTTAGAGAAGACCTAACACCCATTGTTGTTAAAGTTTTCCAAAAAGTAGAAGAGGAGGGAATACTTCCAAACTGATTCTATGAGGCCAGCATCACTCTAATACCAAAACCAGGCCAAGACACCACAGAAAAAGAAAATTACAGACAAATATCCCTGATGAACATAGATGCAAAAATACTCAACAAAATACTAGCAAACCGAATTCAAAAATCATCAAAAAGATCATCTTTCATGACCAAGAGAAATTTATTCCAGGGATACAAGGATGGTACAATATTTCAAAATCTATCAACATCATATACCATGTCAACAAAAAGGAGGACAGAAATCATGATCATCTCTATAGATGCTGAAAAAGCATTTGACAAAATTCAACATCCATTCATAACTAAAACTCAGCAAAATGGGTATAGAGGGCAAGTATAATCATAATAATGGCTATATACAACAAACCAACAGCCAACATCATACTTAACAGCAAGAAGCTGAAAGCTTTCCGTTTAAGATCGGGAACAAGACAAGGATGCCCACTCTCCCCAGTTTTATTCAACATAGTACTGGAGGTCCTAGCCACAGCAATTAGACAACATAAAGAAATAACAGGCTCCAGATTGGCAAGCAACAAGTTAAACTGTCACTGTTTGCATATGATATTCTATTGTATATAAAAAACCCTAAATAATCCATCCCCAAACTAACCAGAACTAATAAATTAATTCATCAATGTTGCCAGATGCAAAATCAGTACACAGAAATCTGTTGCATTCCTATTTACTAATGATGAACTAGGAGAAAGAGAAATCAGGAAAATAATTCTATTCTCAATTGCATCAGAATGAATAAAATACCTGGAATAAACCTAACCTGGGAGGTAAAAGACCTATACCCTGAAAACTACAAGACACTCATGACAAAAATTAAAGAAGATACTAATAAATGGAAATATATCCCTTGCTCATGGATAGGAAGAATTAATATTGGCAAAATGGCCTGCTTGCCTACAGTAATCTACAGATTCAATGCACTGCCTATCAAAATACCAACAGCATTCTTCAACGAACCAGAACAAATAGGTTTAAAATTCATATGGGACCACGAAAGACCCTGAATAGCCAAAGGTATCCTGAGAAGGAAGAATAAAGCTGGGGGGATTACACTCCCTAACTTCAAGCTCTGCTACAAAGCCATCGTAATCAAGATAATTTGGTACTGGCACAAGAACAGACCCATAGAGCAATGGAACAGAATAAGGAGCCCAGTTATATACCCACACATACATGGCCAATTAATATTCGATAAAGAGCTGTGGATATGCAATGGGGAAATGACAGCCTCTTCAGTAACTGTTTTTGGCAAAACTGGATAGCTACATGCAAGAGAATGAAGCTGGATTATTATTTAATTCCATACACAAAAGTAAACTCAAAATGGATCACAGACCTGAATGTAAGTCATGAAACCATAAAACTCCTAGAAGAATATGTAGACAAAAATCTCCTGAATATAAACATGAGCAACTTTTTCTTGAACACATGTCCTTGGCCAAGGGAAACAAAAGCAAAAACGAACAAATGGGACTACATCCAGCTAAAAATCTTCTGTATAGCAAAAGGTACCATCAGTAGAACAAAAAGGTATCCTATGGTTTGGGAGATTATATTCATAAACAACATACCCGACAAAGCATTAACATCAAAGTATGTAAAGAACTCACACACCTGAACACCTAAAAAGCAAATAACCTGATTAAAAAATGGGCAGAGGATGTGAACAGAAATTCATATAGCCAACAGGCACATGAAAAGATGCTACTCATTGCTAATTATCAGGAAAATGCAAATTAAAACCACAGTGAGACATCACCTCACACCAGTTAGGATGGCCAACATCGAAAAGACTAGGAACAACAAATGCTGGCAAGAATGCAGAGAAAGGGGATCCCTCCTACACTGCTGGTTGGAATGTAAATTAGTTCAACCATTGTGGAAAGCAATATGGAGGTTCCTCAAAAAACTAAAAATAGAAATACCATTTGACTCAAGAATTTCACTCCTAGGAATTTACCTAAAGAAAACAAGGTCCTACATTCAAAAAGACATATACACCCCTATGTTTGTTTTAGTACTATTTACAGTAGCCAATATATGGAAGCAACCTAAATGTCCATCAGTAGATGAATGGATAGAGAAGTGGTACATATACACAAAGGAATATTATTCAGCCATAAGAGGAAAACAAATCCTGCCATTTGCAACAACATGCATGGAGCTGGAGGGTATGATGCTCAGTGAAATAAGCCAGGCAGAGAAAGACAAGTACCGAATGATTTCCCTCATTTGTGGAGTATAACAACGAAGCAAAACTGAAGTAACAAAGCAGCAAGCAGACTCGCAGACTACAAGAAGGGACTAGCAGTTACCAAAGGGAAGGGAGTGGGGAAGGTGAGTGGGGAGGGAGGGAGCAGGGGATTAAAGGGGATTATGATTAACACACATAATGTTTGTGGTTCATGGGGAAGGCAGTATAGCACAGAAAAGACAAGTAGTGACTCTATAGCATCTTACTATGCTGACGGACAGTGACTGCAATGGGGTGTTTGGGGGACTTTAAAATATGGGTGAATGTAGTAGTAACCATAATATTGCTCATGTGAAACCCTCCTAAGATTGTATATCAATGATAACTCAATAAAAAAATTATGCTAATGGGTTAAAAATAAAGTGGAAAAACTGAATAAAGTCTGGCTTTTAATAGTAAAAAAATAAAAATAAAAACATTAAAGATGATTTCAGACCAAAACCTCTGAAAGTGTTTAAAATCTGATGATTTAGTTCATTCTTTTTGTGATTTAGGTCTAAATCTATGGCTGAATGACTTTTCCAGTGGCCATAGGTAGTTATTCCCAACCTTATTAAATGTATCTATGCTAAAAGAGGAATTCTTCTGATTGGTGATTGTCCTTTTCCTGAGTACTGGGAAGTAAGGGCCCTGTTTTTGTGTGCAGTTTTATTGACTATATCTCCAAGTGCTGTTAGTGTTTGAAGACCCTGGCATTTTTGCTTTCCTAGTGTGGTAAGGCAGTGAGTTGAGTGCAGTTAGTGGAAGCAGGCTGAATAACATCCTAGAATAAATGGGTTAATAAAGATACCAGTAATGATGAAATCTTGTGTGATTTTTTAAAGAGTACTTTAAGTTGTTCCTTGTGTTTATGGTATGTGATTTTCTTAATGTGTTCCGCTCCCCACACTAACTCTCATCCCTTCTTTATGTAATAGATCAGCGACTATCATCTATTCTACAAGATGAGTAACAGCCACCCTCTTCGCCCCTTTACTGCTGTGGGGGAAATTGATCATGTGCACATTTTGTCTGAACATATTGGTGCCTTGTTGATTGGGGAGGAATATGGTGATGTCACCTTTGTTGTGGAAAAGAAACGTTTTCCTGCACACAGGGTAATTTTAGCAGCGAGGTGCCAGTATTTTCGGTAAGTGTGTATTACTTTTTGAAGATTCCAGTCACTTGTAGAAAACACTGGTATTTGCCACTCTACTGAAAAATATTTAACAAATCATAACAATAAATTCTAGCAATCCTCAATTCAACATCTGTAAGAATTTAATCATTGTAGACTTTTGTATTAGTTTCTGAAAGTCACTTTTTCCTATAGAACCATCTTTGAATTATAGGGTTGGAAACTTTTCCAGGCTAGACTGTATCTGATCAGCCATTTTTAAGGTCTCAAGAATATTTCTCAGACTGAGTTTTGTTGCCTGCACCTTCTCCTCACAATTAATGATTAATGGAACTTAAACTGATTTATTGGCCAATAGGTTTTTGTTGTATAGGTAGACTGAACTCTGTGCTTGCTAATGAACATAACAGATCTGTCTCGAAGACAAGCAGATTGACAACCTAAACTAAAGAAACTCAAGTATTTACTGAGAGTAAGTTTCATAGTTATATTAGAACTAAAATTAAATGAAATATTTGTATATTTGTGAATCTCACAAATATTTGTGAAAACCATACTTATATGTAGCTATTGTTTGTTACTCAAACCCTTAATCTCCATGGTTATAAATATTAAAATGGGCTCTGGTTACTCTTCAATTTACCTAACATCAATTAAAAGGGAATAGCACTGAATTATTGACTGAGTGATAACGTATCCTTGATAAATTCATCATATCCATTGCCATAAAATCAAGGATTTGTCTGGGAAACCTGACTTCTAAAAATTGAGGTGCCAAATGCTTAGAGAAAATTTCAGTTACCTTCTGGTGAAAACTGATGTCTGATTTTTAACATCAGAATTAACTGAGACAGAAAAATAGTAATACGTAGTCATATACATTGTAATAAATTGTGTCCCTTGGAAATATTTACTATTTAATTAGATCTCTTATAGTATTTTATAAATGTTTTTAGAATGTTCCATGTTGTACATATAAAATGCACTGTAAATTGAAACAGGAGCTTAGAAAAGAGAGGAGTTCTTCTCATGCTTTATTCCTGTTGCTAGTGGTCAACTCTGCCAAGTAGTTGGCCTTGGTCTAGTCATTAGATATCAGGCTCTATCCTTTGCACACTTTTCCTTTTGAGTTTCTTTCCCTTTTCTTACTTTTGGCCATCTCATTACTAATTATCATATTTTAATTTAAGAGTGCATTTTTTATTAAGTCGCAACTTTTCAGTCTTATGTTTATTATTTATTATATTTATTATGTTATTTCAAAAATAATTTGAATCAACTGTATGTGGGTATCTTTTAGGGGATCAGTATACCTTAAAAAAACTCAAATGCTTATTTTTTTAAAGTATCATTGATATACAATCTTATAATGGTTTCAAATATACAAAACAAGTGGTTCAACATTCACCCATATTATCAAGTCCTCACCTCCTCCAGGGTGGTCACTGTTCATCAGTGTAGAAAGATGTTACAGAGTCATTAACTGTGTTCTCCATGCTGTACTACCGTTCCTGTGACCAATCTATATAGTGATTGTGAATTATTGTGCCCTTAATCCCCTTCGCACTCCCCCTCCCTTTGGTAACCACTAGTCCCTTCTTGGTGTCTATGAGTCTACTGCTATTCTGTTCCTTCTGTTTTGCTTAGTTTTTATATTCCATAAATAAGTGAAATCATATGGTATTTGTCTTTTTCTGCCTGGCTTATTTCACTGAGCATAATACCCTCTAGATCCATCCATGTTGTTGTAAATGGGAGGATTTCTTTTCTTTTTATGGCTGAATAATTTTCCACTGTGTATATGTTCCACATCTTCTTTATGGACACTTAGGTTGCTTCCATATCTTGGCTATTGTAAATGGTGCAGTGATAAACATAGGGGTGCATGTGGCTTTTTGAATCAGGGATCTTGTTTTCTTTGGGTAAATTCCTAGGAGTGGAATTACTGGGTCAAATGGTATTCCTATTTTTAGTTTTTGAGGAATCTCCATATTGCTTTCTACAATGCAATAATTGCACCAATTTACATTCCCACCAACATTGTAGGAGGGTTCCCCTTTCTCCGCATCCTTGCCCAGTATTTAAGAAATTCAAATACTTTTAGAAGTTTAAAAATCATATTAAATGAATGGAATATACTTCCCTTAGTTTTTGATCTTGTTCTTGATGTCTTTTTGTGGGTATTGAACCTTTATAATATCTGATGGCTCACTAGTCGTTACCAATGCCACCATTCATGTGCAAATGAAGGTTAACTGTCAGCAATCTGTAGAAGCCTTACTAAGTGTTGTCATAGCCCCTATCAATTCCTAAGTAAAGGCAAGCTAATTGAACAGGTGGGAACTCTCCACAAGTTGAAGGTTCATTTTACTGTTCCAAAGAAGCCTCATCAAAAACACTCTTAAAGTATTGAGAATCCAGGTCCATATGATGGATCACACTAGGGTAGCAGTGAGACCACCCCAGGAAGGTGTTCTCTAATCTAGTAATTTTAAGGTCATTTTTGAATGCTGTCTGTAGCAATGAAAATTTACAAGGGTGTTTTTAGGCTGAGTGTAACCCAGTGAAGAGGTGTGCACAGAATACTTGTGAGTCTTGCTGAATGGTTTCCACAGTTTCCATTAGGCAAGCATGAATGCCAAGTCCTGGGAGAAAGTGGGAGGAGTTCCAGGCAGGTGTGGAGGGAGCCCTTGAAACGCTTAGGACTGCTCTGAGAATCTTAGGAGCAGAGAATCTCTTTTTGCCCCTTTACTCTTTTGACCTCACTTTGATACCTTCTCTTTCTCATTTTGTACTCCCCCTTTTCTGCATTCCTCCCTTGTCCTCCTCTGGACACCCTTTCTTTCCTCCTGGATTGTAGGTTTCATTGATTCATGTTATTTCTTCTCGTGTAATAGAGGTAGAAAGTCAAATTCTTTTGGTAATGATTGTCCAGTTTTCATTTTTTAGATAAGCAAATAGGCAATAACGTGGAGGGTGTTTTAATCTGAAAAATACCGAAAGACAAAAAAGTCAAATCACTCATAATCTCATCAACAATTTTTTTATTTTATAAACAAATAAAATTCCTTCCCTCTTTCACAACAGTTTATGATGAATCTCCCCTGATTTTTCTCAATATAAATAGGTGTATCTATATATACCTTTGTGCATATACATGTAAGTATGTGGTATACATTTTTTTTCCTTGTAACATATTTAAATCAGCAACTTGACTTACCTACTATAACCTGGATATCTTTCCATGACAGTATATATTTATGTCCCTTGACCATCTTTCTAATGGCTGCATAGAATGTATATGTAACAGTTTTTTCAAACATGTTTCTATTGATGGACATTTAAGATTCTTTCCGTGTTTTCGTTGTTTCACTATATGTCTTATATATTTGTCTTTGCCTTGCTGTATTATTTCTCTAGAATTGAGCCTTAAAAGTGAGAGTACTGAGTTGAAGGGTATACATGGTTTAGATTTGAATAGATAGTACTTAAATTACTTTTAAAAGAGGGGTGTCCATTTATACTCTTAAAACACTGCATTAGAGAACTGTTTTTCCATTGTTTTTTAGCACTGAGTGTAAGTAGGCTTTTTTATTTCTGCTAGTCTGACAGGGGAGAATGATACCTGATTGTGTTTGTTTTTATCTGATTGTATCTTTCCCTTAGTTCTACTTTTTAAGCTGCCTAATTGACCTTTAACATGTTTGTATTGATTTCACTGTTCCTCTCAAAAGAGCACTTTATAATCTATTTAATGAATACATATCTTGAGCTCTCAGGATATTTCATTAGCCCAATTGTTCACAGAATTAATTCAAAGTAGTTTTTAAGTCATTTCTCTTACCTTCTTTAGAGAACTATTTAAAATGATTACTATGAATTTCTTTACTTGAATCTTTGTGTCATTAAATAAATTTGTATTATGTTGATAACCATTAATTCATAATTTTGTAGCAGGTCTTACTAGAGGTTTTCTTCATGTGTTTTTTTTCTCTAATGCGCAGAGCATTACTGTACGGTGGAATGCGAGAATCTCAGCCTGAAGCAGAAATCCCTCTCCAGGACACCACTGCGGAAGCATTCACGATGCTCCTTAAATACATCTACACTGGGCGGGCAACGCTGACAGATGAGAAGGAGGAGGTGCTGCTGGACTTCTTGAGCCTCGCTCATAAATATGGATTTCCAGAGCTGGAGGATTCTACCTCTGAGTATCTCTGCACCATACTTAACATTCAGAATGTCTGTATGACTTTTGATGTTGCCAGTCTTTACTCGCTTCCCAAGTTAACTTGCATGTGCTGTATGTTTATGGACAGAAATGCTCAGGAGGTGCTCTCAAGCGAAGGCTTCCTCTCCCTTTCTAAGGTGTGTCCCTGTCTGCAAGTAATTTACAGGCATGCATCGTTTTATTTATATCTGCACAGCAGAAATACAGCAATGAGCTAAGAATAAAAAAATAAAAATCATTGGTGTGGAAGAGGTGATCTGTCTAGCCACTTGGCTTGGGTGCTGAGACTGTAGATCATATGAGTGGCAGATTGCTTCTGTTTTCTTTCTTAAGGTTTTTCCAATAAGTTTTATGTGCAAAAGAAACTGTTCTTCTGGGTTGTTGTTTTCAGTGTGGTAACAAATGGGCTCCTTTTGTGGTGTTGCATTCTATTTTTTAGTTTTGTGTTTCTCTGACAGAGTGCAACTAAAACTCCTTAAAGAGGGAAAATTCGTAAAGGAGATCTGATGCATCATTGGATGTCTCTAAGTCACTGCTGTTGGTCTTTTTTGCTGGCTCAAAATTATACAGTGTAAAACCCATTTAATATAATAGCCAGAGTAAAACTATTTTGTTCAAGTCTTTCTCCAAACCCTGGTGGTTGTCTCTCCTTTCCCTTCCTATGTTCCTCCTAGGATCTGAGTATTTCAAAAAAGAAAACTTATTTGAAAAGCTACATATCTTGGTTTGAGAGTACACTATGATTTTTATTATCCTACTTAATTTTTTAGAGGCAAAGGTCTTTGAGGTGTGCACCAGTGTTGCTAGAGATCAGTCTGGAAATCTGAAAACCAAAAATATGGTAGGGCAGTAATATGGTAGAACAAAAGATTTTGAATTTTAAATGCCAGATGTATCTTACTGACTTAGAAATATCAACCCTCCTAAAGAAACTGTATGGAATGGCAGCATCTCATGTTGCCATTTTTCTTTTTGTTTTATTAAGGATGGTGCAAATATGTTGGAAAGATTAGATGTTTGATGTAGTAGTGCAAGATGCCTACATCTATTCACACAGTGATAATGAGCAGGAGAGTATATGGCACAAAGAATAAGGAAAGAAGATGGTCAAAAAGAGTTAATTGCTTAACTATAAGTGATATCTGGAGTTGTGTAAGGTTTACTGATGGATCATGTACATCGTTAAACTCCACAATAACTAGGATTTTTCCTTTTTGTCCTTTTCAGACAGCACTTCTAAACATCGTATTAAGAGATTCATTTGCAGCTCCTGAAAAAGATATTTTCCTAGCCTTGTTAAACTGGTGTAAGCACAATTCAAAGGAGAATCATGCTGAAATCATGCAGGCTGTGCGTTTACCTCTGATGAGCCTCACTGAACTTTTGAATGTTGTGAGACCTTCAGGACTATTGTCTCCTGATGCCATTCTGGATGCTATTAAAGTTCGATCAGAGAGCCGGGATATGGACCTCAACTACAGAGGCATGCTCAGTAAGTACCCATTATCCTACTCTCACCGAGAGATTTTATTTGCATCTTAAGACAGTCTCAGCTACAAAACTCTAGTGCTGGTGTACCTGGCATGTGTGGGTGTAAGAACACACAGCTCTGCTTCCTCCAGAAGGCCCTTCCTTGTCATCTGCCTATTTGCTTCTCCTGAGATGGCTTTGCCTCGGTAGACCCGAAAATCAGGTTTATCACCATTCCTGGACAGAGTTCTTCAGCAGCTGCCTAGAATGTCAGAAATAGAAACTTTTCTGAAAGCTTCTCATGCTAAGACCTTTCCTTCCCTCCTCCTTCAAATTAGTACAGAGTACATGTCGTCTATTCTTATTATTTTAAGTACCTTAAACACAGAGATTCTAAATAGCAGTAATAATAGCTAACCCTTATGTAGCATTTTTGACACTTTTTTGGTGATTTTTCTAATTAATAAAAATAATAGCAGCTAACATTTATAAAGTGCATAAATGTATCAATAAGAGTCCCATAATCACTTAATTCTCACAACCCTTTGAGGTAAGTACTATTATTGGTTCCATTTTACAAATGAGAAAATTGAAATACAGAGAGTTTAAGTAACATGTCCAAAGTCACACAGAAAGATGTGGAGCTGACACTCAGACCTTCGTAGTTAGGCTCTAGAAGCTGTGTAATTAACCACTAAACTATGCTGTATAAGTGCAAGATACAGTTGGTCCCTGAAAATTGTGTGGTTTGGGATGCCAACCTCCTATGCAGTTGAAAATCCATGTATAACTTTTGGCTCCCCCAGAATTTACCTACTAATTCCCTTTTATTGACAAGAAAGCCTTATCAATAACATAAACCATTGATTAACACATAGTTTGTATGTTAAATGTATTATATACTTTATTCTTATGATAAATAAGTAAGCTAGGGAAAAGAAAATATTTTTCAAATTGTCACAAGTCTCCAAGAAGTTTTTCTAATATATTAATTGAAAAAAATCCACATGTAAGTTGAGCCACACAGTTCAAACCTATGTTGTTTAAGGGTCAATTGTATAGTCCCATGAAAAGTTAAATACAACAATGTTCAAGGTGGTTATATGCTGTGAACTTCAGAAGATCACATGGAGTGTTTGAGGGAGATTTCATGGAAATTGTGAAGTTGAGTTGAGCCTTGACATTTGATAGGAATGGCATCAGGATGGGGTGCATTTTAGATAGAAAAACTTGGTGAGTTTAATAGATGGAGATTAGAACACTTGAAGGACTGTGAACAGAACAGCTTGAATAGAGCAGAAGGCTTATGTCAATTAATAACAAAGAAAGTCTATAAAGGTCACCTCAGGCAAAATCATGAAAGTTTTTGTAACTAGACTGGAATTTTGCTAATGTGCAGTGAGAAGCTGATTTTAGAGAGGGGAAGAGGCATGAATTCAGTAGTGGTTTTGAAAGATGGATTTATGGTACTGGACTCAATGATTTGGAATAGGGAAAAACTGATGCAGGGAGACCACTGAGGAGGGTATTTAACCTGTGCAGAAATCAGAAACTTAAACTCAAATGATGGTGGGAAAAATGGAAAATAGTGGATTTGTAGAAGATACTTTAAAAAAATAGCTCATGGTGATTCAGAGTTTTAAATTTGAGGATTAGTGGATGAAGTTGTCTTATTTTATCAAATCTAAGAAACCAGAAATTCTGAGGTACCATTGTTTATATACCACTGAGAAAGGAAACAATATTGTCAGTCAAACCATGACACACCATTATGTCTATATTCCAATTTCAGAAACGTTAAAATTTGAGAAAAACTTGTCTTAGAATTAATAGTTGTTTGAAGAAGGTGCTGAGCTTATTTTTAGACTACTGACTTTATGCATTTCTGAGACATCCAAGTTCTGTCTCATGTTCCCTGAGTGACCTTTTCCTTGACCGTCTGTCTTCACACACCCTCTTGAACTACTGATGATCTTAAACAGATGTCCTTAGCCTGGACTTCTTTCCTGACTCTTCACATTTAGATCTCTTTTCATTGGGTGTGGGAAAAAAAGAATAGATTTGGAGCTAGACTAATTTGACTTCAAATCCTGAGTTAGTCACTTAAAAGATTCATAAGGTGGTTATATGCTGTGAACTTCAGAAGATCACATGGAGTGTTTGAGGGAGATTTCATGGAAATTGTGAAGTTGAGTTGAGCCTTGACATTTGATAGGAATGGCATCAGGATGGGGTGCATTTTAGATAGAAAAACTTGGTGAGTTTAATAGATGGAGATTAGAACACTTGAAGGACTGTGAACAGAACAGCTTGAATAGAGCAGAAGGCTTATGTCAATTAATAACAAAGAAAGTCTATAAAGGTCACCTCAGGCAAAATCATGAAAGTTTTTGTAACTAGACTGGAATTTTGCTAATGTGCAGTGAGAAGCTGATTTTAGAGAGGGGAAGAGGCATGAATTCAGTAGTGGTTTTGAAAGATGGATTTATGGTACTGGACTCAATGATTTGGAATAGGGAAAAACTGATGCAGGGAGACCACTGAGGAGGGTATTTAACCTGTGCAGAAATCAGAAACTTAAACTCAAATGATGGTGGGAAAAATGGAAAATAGTGGATTTGTAGAAGATACTTTAAAAAAATAGCTCATGGTGATTCAGAGTTTTAAATTTGAGGATTAGTGGATGAAGTTGTCTTATTTTATCAAATCTAAGAAACCAGAAATTCTGAGGTACCATTGTTTATATACCACTGAGAAAGGAAACAATATTGTCAGTCAAACCATGACACACCATTATGTCTATATTCCAATTTCAGAAACGTTAAAATTTGAGAAAAACTTGTCTTAGAATTAATAGTTGTTTGAAGAAGGTGCTGAGCTTATTTTTAGACTACTGACTTTATGCATTTCTGAGACATCCAAGTTCTGTCTCATGTTCCCTGAGTGACCTTTTCCTTGACCGTCTGTCTTCACACACCCTCTTGAACTACTGATGATCTTAAACAGATGTCCTTAGCCTGGACTTCTTTCCTGACTCTTCACATTTAGATCTCTTTTCATTGGGTGTGGGAAAAAAAGAATAGATTTGGAGCTAGACTAATTTGACTTCAAATCCTGAGTTAGTCACTTAAAAGATTCATAGTTATATAACATGCTATTACATAAAGAAATTTACCTGTAGTTTTTATCTCCTAGTATTCTTAAAAGAATTAACTGAAATGTGTGGAAATAATGTGTAAGCTCAATAATAGGAAACATTGTTATCATATATCATTATCTGTGTTCTTCCTCATCTCTATGTCTGCATAGGAATTACCACATTGATTACATTGTTTTAAACATTTTTGTTCACTTGTCTTTGGTCCCTGAAGGCAGAAATGATCTTTGTAAGGCATATTGATCTTGGTATCCTCAACATTTAACATACTGAATAGCATATAGCAGACATTTGGTGAATGAATGCAAAGAGAAATGTGTAATTAGTAGTGGAAGCAAGTTACTGATGTTTAGGAAGTAGTCAAAGCTGGTGGTAAAAGAGTTGAAACGTGGGGTAGATAAAATATAAAGAAGGTAAAGATCAAAGTCTGAGACTTAGAGAAGACCTATACAGGGTCAGGGAGCTAAAAGTAGAGAAGGAAGATGTGGAGAGGTATGAAGAAAAGTAGGATACAATTACAGAAGCCAATAGAGGAGAATGCAGTGGAGAGGGTGGTCAGTGGTATCTGGTGATGCCGGAAGATCAAGAAGAATGAGAATTGAGAAAACATTTGGATATGAATTGTGGTGAATAGTCTAGAGAGAAGCTTGGCTAAACAGGGAAATAGACCATGGGTTTGAAAAAGTAGTAAATGCAGTTTGTTGACCATCTGATGTGTGAATTAGAGTAGAAGGTAATAGAGAAGTGATGTGGTAGCTAGAGGGAGCAGGACAGGAGAGGCCTAGAAGAGATAGCAGGTGCTAGAGAATGGTACAAGTTGAGGGTCAGCCTTGGATAAATTGTGGGAGGATGGAAGGGAAAGAGGTAACTTGATGATAAACAGAATTTTAGACTTAAAATCCTAATGGTTGGATCCTCTTACGTAATTCCTTTTTTCCCTTCTTGCCCTAGTTTTGATTTGAAGCGCTGTTGGGATGCTGGAACTGGGTGCTTTAGAGGGATAGACTTGGGACATTGCTGCAGGAGGTGAGGGGGTGTTTTGGACATTTTACACAATTAGTGGTAGCTTGGAACTGATCTCCTGGTCACTATAGATGTCAGACCTGGGTTATAATAAACCCACAAAATTAGCATGAAGAGAGTAATCAACCAGTGGGGGCACTCTATTCTGGAATGATAAACTTATTATAATTGTTACTCATAAATATTAAATTTTTAATTTTGTAATAAGTGAGAGCTCAAGGAAGAGATTATACAACTGTTTGTTCTTTATCTAACTTATAAACTTGAAAAATGATTAAATACCAGACTGTTTTCTGACTTTTAAATTATATGAACAATAAAATCAATAATAACAAATATTAAGGAAGCAGCATATTACTTTCCTCTTAGATCCTAAAAAGTGGGCTAGTTATTTCTGAAGTAAATGTTATCAAGCATTCATATCATTATTTTCTTTGATCAGATTTCTTCACTATTAAGGGAAAAAGAGTCTAAAATTTCAGAACTGTTTCTGGGTGATGATCTGGAAAGATAGTTCTGCTTATTTTGAAATTATTGACCAAATTTGGTTGTTTCTTTGTTTTTCCATGGAGGTTAGTTCTGTGCCTTTGAGGACTTTTCATGAAATGTGGTGAGGTTCTGTCTTGGGACGTGGGCTCAGATACTAATGCATGTTCTTTGAGTTTATTAATATTGGTTATTGGAAGATTTAGTTCTTAGAGCTGCATATCCTGAGGCTTTTTACCAAATTACAGTAATTTTTCCTTCCATAAAGAAAAAAAAAAGGATCCAAGGGATGTTATAAATTTACCAGTGAAGGTTGATTTTTCTGGGAAGGTGGTTTGAACTAGTTTTGTACATAT